AGCCACACCAGGTTGGTGATGCTTGGCCCTCGTCGTGTTCTAGGTATGGCCTCAGGTGTCTCACACGCATGAACCCACCCTGTCCCACAGCCCCCCTGGGGAGGCCGAGAGATGAGGCTGGGCTGGGGTGCCAGCAGGTGGTGAGCACAGGTGCTGTGACACGGGGGGGGGGTCCCACCCGCCTCTCAGGGGACGTGTTGGAGCTGAGACTCAAGGGACCCAGAGATGGCCTTTAAAAAGACGCTGCTGGCCAGCGTGGTGCGCACACTTGACATCTCGGCTGCCCCGGAGGCTGAGGCAGGGGGTTCGCAAGTTCAAACCCAACTGGGAACTTAGCAAGACCCTGTCTGAAAATAAAATTTTAAAGTTGCTGGGGGTGTGGTTCCATGGTGAGTACTTGACTAGGGTGTGGAGGCCCTGGAGTCTATGCCCAGCACCACAAAGAGTAAAAGGGAGAGAGAAAGAAGGAAGGAAAACTCCAGCCAGCCAAATACTGCACAATCACTGAAATGCAGAAAGAGCCAAAAGCACAGCAGTGGAGAGTACAGTGGGGTCCCTGGGGCTGATGGGAGCTGGGCCAGGGGCAACATGGCTAGAAGGTGTAGACTTGCAGGCTGCATCTGTAATCCCAGCTCCTTGGAGGTTCAGGTGGGAGGTTTCTGAGCCCCAGAGTACAGGGGTGGCCTGGCCACATAGCCTTGTTCCCCACCCCTCAAAAGATTAATGAATTAATTTGAAAAGCCAGGTGGGAAAAGGGCCCCCTGTGTAGACAGAACCCAAGTGTCCCCCAGCCCGAGTGGATACATGGGAGGTGCCCATTCACGAGGTGGAAGGGTATTTGACTATAAAAGGCGTGGTGTGCTCCCCAAGCTACGCCCCGTGGGCCTGGAAACGTTCAGCGGAGGGACAGAAGCCAGAAAGGGAAGGCTGAGTGTAGGAGTCCATTTATAGGATGCGACCAGAATGCGCGCTTGGGGCGGGGGAGTCACCACTATGGGACAGGGCTTCTGTCTTGGGTGTTGGAAGTACTTGGGAGGCTCAGTAGTGAGTGCTGCCCTAGTGCCTGCAAGGCCTTTGCTCCATCCCCAGTGGTGCCAAAAAAATCAACAGATAAACTTTTGGAAATAGACAGTGGTGATGGTTGTACAGCGTTGAGAATGGAATTAATGTTACTCAGGTGTAGGTTGCAAGTGGTTCAAATGGCTCTGTGATCAATGCCACTGAACTGCACACTTAAAAGTGATTAGGAGGGGCCAGGGATTTAGCTCAGTGGTTCCAGCACCTGCCTCACAAGCGCAAGGTCCCGAGTTTGATCCCCAGTACCAAAAAAACAATTAGGAACCAGGTATGGTGGCATGCACCTGTCATCTCAGTGGCTCAGGCAAGAATCACAAGTTCAAGGCCAACCCTGGCTACATAGTGAGATTCTGCCCCCCTCAAAAAAAAACAACAAAAAGGACCCCAGAAACAAAATCCAAGTGATTTAGGGGCTGAAGGTACAGCTCAGTGGTAGTGTGTGCTTAACATGTGGGAACCCTAGCTTCTATCCCTGGCACAATTTTTTTTTTTTTTTTTTGGTACCAGGGATTGAACTCAGGACCTTGCACTTGCGAGGCAAGCAGCGGAACCACTGAGCTAAATCCCCATCCCAGGCACAAAAATTTTTTAAAAATCACTTTCAATGGTTAAAACCATCTCATAATTTTAGGGTTTTTTAGGTTTTTTAATTTTAGGTGACCCAAGGGGTCTCACTGCATAGTTTCTCTGGCCTTGAATTCACTGTGTAGCCCAGGCTGACCTTGGTCCTACTGCCTCAGCTTCCCAAGTGCTGAGATTATAGGCGTGCACCACCATGCCCAGCTACTGTGTTATAATTTGTGCGTGTGTGCGCGTGCGTGCGTGCGTGCGTGTGTGTGTGTGTGTGTGTGTGTGTGTGTTATAATTTTCAAAAACACAAAGATTCTGAGTGCTGAGGTTCTGGGGCAAAAAGATAGAAGGGCAGTTGGAAGTGGCCAGTGCCTGTGACCGGAGGAGCAGCCTTGAGGACAGATGCCAGGGTGTTCTGGAAGTGTTGACAGAACCAGGACACCCGAACTGCATCGAGGGGTGGGGATAGGGGAGCCACAGCCAGATGCAGTGGTCCACACCTGTCATCCCAGCACTCTGGGAGGCAGGAGGATGGCAAGTTTTGAGTCCAGTCTGGACAACTTTGTCTCAAAGGATTGAAAGAGGGATCCAGACCAGTGTGAAGGCCCTGGGTTCAACCCCCAGTACTGGGACAAAGAAAGGATTTCCACTCCTAGGTTTGGGGAAGGTTTGGTGTGGTGTGAGGGAATCAAGGTGCCTGGAGACCCTCACAGAGGTGTAGGCAGCAGGGTGAGGGAGTGGCCGGTCTGGAGGACCACTTAGCTGGTGGGGAAGGCGTTTGGAGGTGAGCACTGGAGGAGGCAGAGCCCTGAGCCAGAGGGAGGCCCCATCTTGCTGTGCTGTCCTCACATGGCCCAGTAGACAGGCCGCCCGGGGAGCCAGGCTGGGAGGGGACACCACAGGCCCCTGGCAGCACTGGGGTCTGGACCCACATAGGGCAGGGCCCCAAGCCAGGGCTTCCCCCTTCGTGTCCTCCTGCCTCAGCGGCTGGAGTGCTCAGCAAGGGCCAGCCACCGACCCTGGCTACCTAGACCCAAGGGGGAGCAGAGGCTCAGGAAGATGGACATGGAGGAGATGCAGCCCCACTATAAACCCTGTCAGATGACAGCGCCCTGCAGATGTCCTGTGCCCACCCCGGTGGCCGAGGGGTTCTAGAGGAGCATTTTGGGCAGGCCCACGTGAGGGGATGGAGGTCTGGGAGGTACCTGGCCCCTTCCATCTTTAGCCTCGAGGGCCCTTTTGGTCTCGCAGGAAAAGCCAAGCCTATATGGAAATGTAATTCCTGGGGCATTGGGAGCACAGCCAGGCATGGTAGCCCACGCCTGCCATCCCAGCCCTCAGCAGGCTGAGGCAGGAGGATCGTTGGGAGTTCAAGGCCAGCTTGGACTACATAGACCCTGTCTCAAGCAAAAGGGCAAAAGGCTGGGGTGACCTTGGAACCTGTATAAGGGACACCAGGACCCTGGGAGGGCATCCCAGGCTGAGGGAACTCGGGCAAAGGGAGCGAGAGGGCAGAAGGGGGCTGTGTTCCAGCCCAGCACTGCAAGAAAAGAGAGGGAAGAGGAGTCAGCAAGCCCAGCAACACCAGATCACCGCTGTGAGGGCTGTAGAAAGGGGTGGGGAACGTGGCGATCTGATCCATGCCTCCCTGGAGCCTGTAACCCTAAGTGGATGGCATACAGGTGGGTGGGTGGGGTGGCGACCTGGGCTATGGGGTACTGCTGGGCCCTGGAAGTGGGTGGTGGGTGAGCCACACTGGGAGCAGAGCCCATGGGACTTGCTGATGGAGCTCACGAAAGAGACCAAAGAGAAGGTTCAGAATTGAGGTGGATTTTGAGATCTGAGAGTCATTCAACAAATTCATAATGGTGTGTCCCTGTGGGAGGGAAATCTGCATACCAAGAACAGTTATATTTGAACAAAGGCCCGATGGAGCTGGCCACATGGGTAACCAGTCTGTGGACAGACACTGTATGCACAGGAGGAAGAGATGTGCAAAGGCCCTGGGGCAGGGCCTGATAGAGCAGACATGGGGTCAAGGAGCTAAGTGGGCCAGTCAGTAGCCTTCATAGGGGCTTTGAAATTTGGCCGGGGGAAACATTAGTTGGGGCTGTGTTGAGACTGCAAACTGGAAATAGGAGCTGGAATTAGAAAGTTTGGCATTGTGGGTGTGATGGTACATACCTGTAATCCCAGCACTTGGGAGGCTGAGGCAGGAGGGTCACTGAGTTTGAGGCCAGTATGAACTACATAGTGAGACCCATCTCA